AGACAAAAAATCGACAAACCCAAACGCATATGCTTTATTTTATAAAGTAGAGAAATATTCAATCAAATCTACAATACTATTACGAAATGTTTCAGGACAAATGTTTGATTAGTAACATTTCTGGTGATTTAAATGTCCCAGTTTTCCTGACGCGATCAAAACAAGTTCTAATTGTAATGGTAACCATTAACGAAGTCCCCCAAATTGCCCGAATCGTCACCATGATGCATCAGAACAAGATTGCAATACCTTGATAAACCTCAAGCAAAGTTGAATTGGAATCCGACTTCTCGTTTGTGAGAAAGTATTCGGACTTATTTACGGGGAAGAAGAAGAACAATGACCAAATTTACAATTTCGAGAAATTGCAGAGGTGGCCCTCGAATTTGAGTGATATTGGACACTATCTTTATACATTTAAACCAATTAGAAACGACGGCGGCCATATTTGAAGTCGGATTGAAAAAAGAAGACCATTTATGGAAGTATGATCCACCAATGAACATAAATACTAATTTTAATTACGTTCCTACAAGTTTAAAATTTAGACCAAAAAGATGCTTGCACATGGCAGCCATTTTTTCGAAAACATGTCATGCTTGTTGTAGCTGAAATGTTCGTGTTATTGAAATGGCTTGTCAAAACATCCCATACATCCAAGAATTGCTTGACAGAATATGTTTATCCATCGGGATCCTCCGCTTCGTACTCTTCTACAACGATACGTTGATACTTGACAGAATATGTTTATCCATCGATGTCCTCCGCTTCTTACTCTTCTACAACGATACAATGATACTTGAAAAGATCCATCTTTGGTAGAAATGAGACGGAAGTAATTTTTATCGCGACCATGATGCATCAGAACAAGATTGCAATACTTTGATAAACCTTACGCAAAGTTGAATTGGAATCCGACTTCTCGTTTGTGAGAGAGTATTCGGACTTATTCCATACATCCAAGAATTGCTTGACAGAATATTTTTATCCATCTGGATCCTCCGCTTCGTATCCTTCTACAACGATGCGTTGCTACTTGGCAGAAGATGTTTATCCATCGATATCCTCCGCTTCGTATTCTTCTACAACGATGCGTTGATACTTGATAAAAGCTGTTTATCCATCGAGATCCTCCGCTTCGTATTCTTCTACAACGATAAAATGATACTTGAAAAGAACCATCTTTGGTAGAAATGAGACGGAAGTAATTTTTTATCGCGACACGAGACAAGTGACATGTTGTGTTTTGACATTGAAATATTTCTGTCATAGCTTTTGCTTGTCAAAACATCGCCTACATCCCAGAATTGCTTGACAGTACATGTTTATCTTGTACGTAACTTCATCTAAATAATCATCTAAGTCCCCCGCTTTGTGTCCTTCAAGAACGCTACGTTGATACCTGAAAAGATCCATCGTGGGCAGAAAATGAGACCGAAGCGAGTTTTGTATTGCAGCACTTGATAAGTAGCGGAATATCACAATGACAACATTAGCTAGATGTTGTGTTTTGTCGAAAGAGGTTTTGCTGCCACGTGTGAAGATGGCCTCCTCGTCCGAAGAGAGTGATCTTTACATCTGAAGAGAGGATATAAAACGGACAATTTGTAAATAAATATGATTTTATAAAGTCCTTTGCTAACGAGAGGAACAATCGCTCTATAAATTTTGTATTAGTCCCCTCTTCAAAATAAATGTCTGGACAAATTCTTTTTGTAAGAATTTTGGCTAGCATGTAGCCGTTCTTGACTGGCTGACGTAAACGTCTGATCGCGTAGCTTTTCGCAAAGCGAGCGAGATATCCTGAAGTCAGGGGCTCCTTCTGACAGCTTTTCTATAGTAGGATTATCATGATGTGTTTCTTCTTGTTCCGTTTCTATCTTCATAATAAGATCGTTAATGTCAATAAAGGCACTGACGAGTTCGGTGCGTTTTGCAAATGTATCGTCTTCAACAGTCGTTGGATTTGCTAGACCATCACACGCCTGTTCATCTTCTCTCAGCGAAACAACATTGATAATTTTGCTACGGTTTTATTTATCTCCAGGGACTTGGACTATGAGGAGATATCCCATCATCTTAACCGTATCACCCGCTAGAGGAATGGCATCCATGTTGATGTACGACGGCCATCATCCAGGCTTTCTAATGCCTAGCGCTACATCGATACTTATTTCGAGGTTACTGTATTCCATGTCTATGAAGGATACTTTGAAATTGACAGGCTTTTCTGCAAGAGTATCCTTTTCACATGATAACGCCAGTCCACCAATTTTGATATTGTCAATGTCCCATGTGCCTTTAGTTCTGATTACTCTCTGGATCAAACCCTTCAGTTCATTTCTCACTTTGTACGCGGAAAGGTAGCCATAATCGTCAAATAAATGGGCAACCTGTTTTGAAGGCAGATCTGATTTTGTCTAACTAAACCGAAAGACATATCTGAGCTGGACTCAACTACTTCACATGATTCCGCGAAGAAAGGTAGGCAGTATACAAAATCAAATGTATCAGGCTTTTCAGCTTTAGTCCCTTCAGCTGAACTTCCACTCGGACAAACGTCAATGGCAAAAGAGCGATCTAATTCACTTTTGAAACTTTGCTCTGGTTTCGCCATCTTTGACCAGTTCATCGCATACTCGTTGCACCTCTTTAAATACACAAAGCAGTTGAGAACTTGCAAGCAATGCTTCATCTGCACAATGTGTCAGGTCCATTTTCTTATCGTATACTTATATTTTATACAGAATACCTCAGCTTCTTTGTTGCAATGACGGGCAACGTCCAATGGCACACGTCCGTGAGCATCCGTAATGTGTTGATCTGCACCCATATCCAGAAGATACGTGATTAACTCATAGTTTCCGAAAGCTGCGAGATGCAGCGCTGTTGATCCAAACATGTATTGCTGGTTTATGCAGGTACCTTTTGCCAACAGAAGTTTCTGTACATCTTCTGTGGTGTTGAGATGTGATCCTGACAATATGCTCTGTTGAAATGGTTGTCGATTCCACTTGTCACATACATTATTGTATATTAATATCCGCACCCGATTCCAGCAAATACGATGCAAGTTTGTAATCTTTTGCAAGATGTAGAGTAGTTTGCGTGTATTGAGGTCAGCACCACTCTCGATGAGTGCCCTGGTTGTTCCAAAACTAAATGTGCACGCCCTCATCAAGGTTGTCACTCCTAGTAAATTCGGACCAATTAGTATCCGTCCCCAGTTCAAGCATTTTACAAATGACAGATTCCTGATATAATTACAGATCCAGATAGACGAAGAACGGTGTTTGCCCACATAGGTTTTTCGAATTTCAGAGAGTTCTCCAGCTTTGGAATCAAAGAACATTCAAACAACCCAAACCAGTATTCTTCCGAGATAAATGTGTCTCCAGCTTTATCCATCAACTAGTACTTTACAGTTGGTCTCTCTGCTAACAACAAATCAGTTAGTGGTGCCAATTTGTCTGAAAGATGATGCAGTACATTTCTCCGTCGACTGTCCTGTATGCCTTGGTGATCAGCCCCTGCTAAACATTGCAGTGTTGATGCACATTATTGGTGGTTATGATCTTCGTTGTATATGCACAAATGCAGTGCAGTGTTCCCAAAGAAATCAAATTCATTTAGTAAGGCGTATTCATCAACAAAAGAGAGAGTATTTTTATTTTGAAGAAAAAACGACATATAATGTATAGTAGTCCGGTCGAATGAATCCTTTGTGTCATTTTTGGCTCCAGCGACAAGGAGTATCTGTGTTATTTCGGTACTGACTTGTGGATCAGAACTGATAGATAATGGTGTTTGACCGGTGTTGTCGGGCACATTGACATCTTCAATGTGGTCAACCAGAAGTCTGGCGTCCATTCGGAGATCGCCCGTCACCAAGCAGACATTCAACAGTTGTGTCATCCTTAATGTGGACAGTAAAGGTTAGTTGGTCTTTCAAAGGCATCCTGTTGGTTGTTCAAACTTTGAATATGAAATCATTCTATAAAACAAAACAAAAACTACCACGTCATTCCACATAAAAAAAGTAGTTCACAAGGTGATGAATGCTTTAGTATATCTTTTGATTTATTGCATTGATGTAACAAAGTTCCACACAGTTATAAAGGGTAAGGGAATATAGAAAACAACACATTTTTGAACCCGAGATTACGTTGCATAAACTTGCACCTGATGTAAACATTTCTATTTTGCTCCTGGAATCATCAACAAAACGTTGTCGACATACGCATAGCGGTGGATTAGATGTGCAAGGATAGATAACTCCGCATCGAAAATTTGCAAAAAGTATTTTGTTCAATTCGTGTGAAGAATATTTAACGAGTGCTGAATTCGGCAAAAGTGACTGCTATTTCTCGTTGATTAACCAAGCGCAGAAATACAGTTTTAATGAAAAAGTCGAAATCCCAACTTCGCAACTTTTGAGATGTTTTTATTATATTTTCTTATCATTTCAGAGCTGACTGTCAGGAGGACTGTACAATCCTAATTTTGTCAGAACAATTATATGTATTTGTCTATGTATCTGATTTCCCTTCGTAAATGTAATTTACAGAATTGTTTGTAGAGTTTACATGTCAACTTTTCGCCTGCCTGTCTGGATTTTATCAACAGATGAATTATTTCTTCCAGTACACTAGTCGGCCAGGGTTTTCTTCCACCGAGGCCTCCGTTTCGTGGAATAGTTTAACTGATCACACAAGTAAACGGGACTACCAGAAGGCAAAACAAACATTCCAAATAGTTTTGAGTTTATAAGCGGCATATTTCCGCGTCATTTAAAAAATAGTTTTTAAGTCAATCTGGAATGTGTTCGTGTGATATATATGCCATTTATATTTTCAAACTTTATTGTCATTCGATTATCATTCATGATAAACCAGACTATAATTCATTCAAATCTTGATCAAGACTTATAGTAGTCGAATTCAATTTGATACACATTAAAAATATACACTTGGGAGTAAAAAGGATGAAAACGATTGGTAAAGATTGATTTTTATTATTCAATATTTGGATATAATTAATTGTACAATTCATCACAATAAAAAATACATTTTCCTCCTGGATACAATATATTATCGATGTCCTTGATTATTTCTTATACATGTTATATCATCCATATCGTCAAAGAAAAACAAACTAGACGCCATTGTAAAATATTAAACTGCTTATAACTTATATTATTCTGATATTTATTTTATTTCTCGTACAACGAACAATATTTGGTCTAAAGCGTTTTGACAAATGATTAAAATTTGACACGTACTTGTGAAAAGTCTGCCTTCAATTATCCAACACCCAAAACAGAAAAATGACATCCACAAGATTGTCACAACTGAACAAAATGCATAAATCAACAAGCTTACTTAAACATCAATAAAGCATAGGAGCCTTCATCAGGTTAGCGTCGGTAAACGGATATAGATTTTCGCATTCCACGGTCTACGTTACGTATCACTCCATACATACTACACGAGCTATTGTCATACCAATTGTATAGCAGTGTGCCTGTTACATAGCACAACACTGCAAGGTAACATTACCTATGTTTTAATTATGATGCATCAACACGCGATTGTATTCTATACATGATCTCACATCCTCAGGTTAAACACTACCTAGACTGTATCTTATCAGATGTTTTTGGTACATTGTATCACAGACATGCTGGTACACTCATCACGTCGACACGTAACACACATTTCACAACGACAACTCATCAAGGCTTCATTATTGCATATTCAACAGTGTATATTCATTTGATTATTGTTTACATGTAATTGTGTCAAGTCAGTCGATACCACGTGGTTTCCACCTGAACGAGGTTAGTCTTGGAATTGTTAACGTTATTTAATGGTAGTTAAATACAATCTTCTTTAATACCTCACTTTACAACATGTTTACCTTGACAACAGACTACTGTGAAGGTTCCGAGCCTTACTGTTGTCCTCAATAGGCGTTACAACGGCCTAAATAAATCATTTCTTCAACAGAATTTTATATTTTGAAGAACTTTTATAACAAATAATAAAGATGGTTTAAAAATTGGACCAGATCGGGATTCGAATCCAGAACCTTCGATCACAATACAGTAACTCTAAGCCTCTGAGCTAACTTACATTGTATCAGCTGTTGTTCCTTTCAGATGAAGTTCGTTCTTGGTTAACGTTTAGAAAGTCCTAGAATCCTTCTCTATTACATTTTTGAGGAGTTTTGTGACATTAAGGCCCGAGTCAAGATACTTATGTTAGGTGCAAGTAAAGATATATGTGAACCGTAGCTTTGGCATGTCAAACTTGGCTTAATTATTAATCTATTATGTTACTGCTGTATGCTTGTTTTAAGTAGTTTTGTGTTTTATTCACTTAATTGTTAAACAAATTATTGAATATTTCGTTAATTTCATTGTATGTTTGATATCACTATTATATACATGTATATGACATTCTTATTTAATGATTCATTATTCTTTAATATTTAACTTGTCATTCTTATTATAAATTATCATGTTTGTCTTTCTTGCCATGTTACATGAACAAGAATAACAAGATTAAGTATAACTTTTCCAAAGCAATAACGAATCATTAGATAAGAATAAAGAACATACAAACCCAATTATATATACAATACAAAATATGTGACATGAAAGACAGACAAGTTCCGCAACAATACGGAAAATTGAATGGGAATATCGAACAAATAATCACAATAATTTGAAGTAAATGACCTTTTAACACGAAAATATTACGGACTCGGAGACTCGGAGATGTCTGTGAGGAAGTTATGGATAATGTCAATTAACTGAGTCTAAAAACTGTTGAGGGAGTTAGTATGTAAAGGTGTTTTAGTTTTCGGACTAACACACGGTTGATAGTGGACCAACTCACTGAAGAGCTTTGTGTCAGAGGAAATATATATTCATTTAACTTTGACATAGCGTGAACAATGAAGAGGTATATTAAATATATATATATATATATAGTATAATCATTAATGTGAGCTTCCGTTTATGGAATCGGCATGTATATATAGATATACAAACATCAGGTAATTGAATAGCGATATGCTTTGTCATGCATATAAACATGTACATGTATCTATCCCGTAATGGAACAATCAAACACTGTCATGGATTTGTGTCAATCACGATCATTGTATAATGATAAGTGTTTACACAGTCTGATCACAGACTAAATATAAAGTCTTGTGTTCAGGCATGATCATTCATGAACAATGTACAGGGAGAAATAAAAACTGGCATCCTGTGGTTTTGGAACATGGCTTCGCTATCCCTGGAGTATTACTGTGTAGTACAACACCAATATCACTGGCTCTCTCAATGTTAGGCACTGTCTGAGGTTTTCTTTGTGTTTGGATGAACATGGTCAATATTAAACATCCCACAGCACCGACGAGCGATTTCCTTCGAAATTTCGGCAACACTTCTGTTATGTAAATGTGTGGAAAGTATAAACAGTTTTACAACATAAAAGGCAATCGTTTCTTAGAACTGGAAACAGCACTTTTGTCGCGAAAATGTCTTAATATAGGATTGTTGATGCCAATTGTTTCTAGTTCCGAATCTGTGAACTTTGAGAATCTCTTTCCACTCACTGATTTTTTGTTTAAATGATTTACTACTCTGTCTGATAGTCCCATGTGTTTTAAAAATGTCGTCATGTCTTCAACGGAAAATCCAGATATGTTCCCATCGCTTGGAATCGTGATTTCCTTTTCTGGGATAAATTTGGGCCCTAAAATAACAACAGAAATATAGGCTTAAGTATCGTGGACATAAAACGGCATATAGAAAATTGTGTTGACACGCATTATGTTACTGAGAGAAAAGCGTCATATAATCAGAGTGCATATATGTAGGACAGAACTTTTCTATCTTTTATAATGTTAACATCAGTTCCTTAAAGCGAGTATTTGATCAATGCGACATTGAAGAATTCTGTTTGACATTTCTCCAGGACTGACAAACTGAGAATAACATCCATATACAATGTATTTCTCAAGGAGTGATAAAATAGTGTGCTGAAATTAACAATGACATCAATAAAACGCTAATGTAAGTTGAAAAAGGCTTGTTTTTTGTACTTTATAAATTAAGAATAAGGCTGAAAAGGTTCATGAATTGTTAAAGAAATATGTCCATGATTCAATTGATCAATACGTCCCACCTTGTCAGATAAAACAGGTACACGCGTGTAATTGTGGAGACACCGAAGTCCATGTCGAAAATTTGCCAAGGATAACCAGACCTACCATTTTGCATGTTTTTAGGCCGCATTCTGGGTGGTAGTTTCTCTACGTTCCTCGGGGGTTGGGACGGCAGTGCTGGTGGGTCGGCATCTTTGGGCAATGCTGGCAATCCTCTTAGACTACAACAACCAACAAATGGGTTATTTATTTTAAATCATCTTTTAAAATAACAAACAAAGACTATTGAGTATGTAAACACGTCGCCTACAAAATGAAAAAGACACAGAATGATTCTCTTACAGCTTATAAACCGTACAATAAACATAAATCCTGTCATTCGAAATAGAACAACTAAACGATTTGAAAGGTTTCGCTCTATTTCTCTACAAAATAACGCTAGCCCTTCCCTATATAAACTTTTGAAAAGTGCCTATTATCCGGCCCATCGAACCGTATGTTTGAAGGAGCTCAGAGTGAGCGAGCGTAATAGAAGTATCAATACATGTAGATGTATCATACACATCGGTGAGGGCGTTACATCAATATAGGTCAGCATACTATACCATGGGGATTGGCAACACAAAGGTGTCATTGACACTGTTTTGTAGGTGATCCTGATTATCATATTACCCTGGGTCATCCTCAACACAACCTTGTTCGTACCCAGGGCACACATCAACAGGCATTACGGCCAGGTATAGTACCCACAGCAAACCCCACAAGGGTTACTGTCTGGTTACAGACGAGGCCAACCATTACACGGATACCCGCCTCGTTAGTACCCGGGGCAAACATCAACAGGCATTACGGCCAGGTAAATTACCCACAGCAAACCCCACAAGGGCTAATGTCTGACTACAGTCGAGGCCAACCATTACACGGATAACCGCCTCGTTAGTACCCGGGGCAAACATCAACAGGCATTACGGCCAGGTAAAGTACCCACAGCAAACCCCACAAGGGCTAATGTCTGTCTACAGTCGAGGCCAACCATTACACGGATAACCGCTTCGTTAGTACCCGGCCCAAACATCAACAGGCATTACGGCCAGGTATAGAACCTACAGCAAACCCCACAAGGGTTACTGTCTGGTTACAGTCGAGGCAAACCTCTACACGGATAACCGCCTCGTTAGTATCCGGACCAAACATCAACAGGCATTACGACAAGGTATAGTACCCACAGCAAACCCCACAAGGGTTACTGTCTGGTTACAGCCGAGGCCAACCATTACACGGATAACCGCCTCGTTAGTACCCGGCCCAAACATCAACAGGCATTACGACAAGGTATAGTACCCACAGCAAACCCCACAAGGGTTACTGTCTGGTTACAGCCGAGGCCAACCTCTCCACGGATAACCGCCTCGTTAGTACCCGGACCAAACATCAACAAGGCATTACGGCCAGGTATAGTACCCACAGCGAACCCCACAAGGGTTATTGTCTGGTTACAGTCGAGGCCAACCTCTACAAGGATAACCGCCTCGTTAGTACCCGGCCCAAACATCAACAGGCATTACGGCCAGGTATAGTACACATAGCAAACTCCACATGGGTTACTGTCTGGTTACAGTCGAGGCCAAACTCTACACGGATAACCGCCTTGTTAGTACCCGGACCAAACATCAACAAGGCATTACGGCCAGGTAAAGTACCCGCAGCAAACCCCAACATGGGTTACTGTCTGATAACACTCGGGCCAACTTATATAAGGACAACATCAGTACCCGGGGCAAACATCAATAAGGATTATAGACTGGTATTACCCGGGGCCAATCTCTACAGGAAGCACTGTCCGGTAATACCCAGGGCCAGCCTCCTGTCGGCAATTACCTGGCCAAACCCTCAAATGTTACCTTATCTCAAACACACAACACTTACTTTCAAATGCTTTACAAAACGGATGACATTTCACCAAAATGCCAATATATAGATGCACCACATCTGATTCAACGAAACAGAGGCACGTCAAAGACATACAAAACATGCCTTTGTTTCGGTTATAAAAAAACATGATTAACAAAATACTACACGTGATGTTCATCAATGTACTACACGTGATATTCAACAATGTACTACACGTGCTGTTCATCAATATACTACACGTGATGTTCATCAATGTACTACACGTGCTGTTCAACAATGTACTACACGTGCTGTTCATCAATGTACTACACGTGCTGTTCATCAATGTACTTCACGTGATGTTCATCAATTTACTACACGTGATGGTCAACAATGTACTACACGTGATGTTCAACAATGTACTACACGTGCTGTTCATCAATATACTACACGTGATGTTCAACAATGTACTACACGTGATGTTCAACAATGTACGACACGTGCTGTTCATCAATGTTCTTCACGTGATGTTCATCAATTTACTACACGTGATGTTCAACAATGTACTACACGTGCTGTTCATCAATGTACTACACGTGCTGTACATCAATGTACTTCACGTGCTGTTCATCAATTTACTTCACGTGCTGTTCATCAATGTACTACACGTGCTGTTCATCACTGTACTTTACGTGCTGTTCATCAATGTGCTTCACGTGATGTTCATCAATGTACTAAACGTGCTGTTCATAACTGTACTTTACGTGCTGTTCATCAATGTACTACACGTGCTGTTCATCAATATACTACACGTGATGTTCAACAATGTACTACACGTGATGATCAACAATGTACTACACGTGCTGTTCATCAATGTACTTCACGTGATGTTCATCAATTTACTACACGTGATGTTCAACAATGTACTACACGTGCTGTTCATCAATGTACTTCACGTGCTATTCATCAATTTACTACACGTGTTGTTCATCAATGTACTACACGTGCTGTTCATCAATGTACTACACGTGCTGTTCATCAATGTACTTCACGTGCTGTTCATCAATGTACTTCACGTGCTGTTCATCAATTTACTACACGTGCTGTTCATCAATGTACTACACGTGCTGTTCATCCATGTACTACATGTGATGTTCATCAATGTACTTCACGTGCTGTTCATCAATGTACTACGCGTGCTGTTCATCAATGTACTTCACGTGCTGTTCATCAATTTACTACACGGGCTGTTCATGAATGTACTACACGTGCTGTTCATCCATGTACTACATGTGATGTTCATCAATGCACTTCACGTGCTGTTCATCAATGTACTACACGTGCTGTTCATCCATGTTCTACATGTGATGTTCATCAATGTACTTCACGTGCTGTTCATCAATGTACTACACGTGATGTTCATCAATGTACTACACGTGCTGTTCATCCATGTTCTACATGTGATGTTCATCAATGTACTTCACGTGCTGTTCATCAATTTACTACACGTGCTGTTCATCAATGTACTACACGTACTGTTCATCCATGTACTACATGTGATGTTCATCAATGCACTTCACGTGCTGTTCATCAATGTACTACACGTGATGTTCATCAATGTACTTCACGTGCTGTTCATCAATTTACTACACGTGCTGTTCATCAATGTACTACACGTGCTGTTCATTAATTTTCTACACGTGATGTTCATCAATGTACTTCACGTGCTATTCATCAATTTACTACACGTGTTGTTCATCAATGTACTACACGTGCTTTTCATCAATGTACTTCACGTGATGTTCATCAATGTACTACACGTTGTGTTCATCAATGGACTTCACGTTCTGTTCATCAATGTACTACACGTGCTTTTCATCACTGTACTACACGTGCTGTTCATCAATGTACTTCACGTGCTGTTCATCAATTTACTACACGTGTTGTTCATCAATGTACTACACGTGTTGTTCATCAATGTACTACACGTGCTTTTCATCAATGTACTACACGTGCTGTTCATCAATATACTAAACGTGCTGTTCATCAATTTACTACACGTGCTGTTCATCAATATACCACACATGCTGTTCATCAATATACTACACATGATGTTAATCAATATACTACACATGCTCTTCATCAATATACTACACGTGCTGTTCATCAATGTACTACACGTGCTTGTCGTCAATATACTATCAATTTACTTTACGTGTTGTTATTTACTAAACGTGTTGTTATTAACTACACGAATTGTTATTTATTACACGTGTTGTTATTTACTACACGTGCTGTTCTAAAATGCCTAACATTTGGCTGTGCTGTTCCTTTAAACAACGCGTTTTGTCCTATAACGTATGTCATTGTGTAAGCAGTAGACGATGAAATATGGGGTCGTTATGTTCCTTACAAATGATGACATTTTATCATGCGGCATTTCTTATTTGACGGCAATCGCCCAAGCAACGCAAATAATGAAATATTTCCTTCCTCAATTTATTCACACTTTGTCTTTGCCCACAGGTGCACGTGCATGTCAGATAAAAATGAGTGATTTCTTGATTTCTTGGTATGTTAATTTTGACCTCAATTCAGATTACCGGCTATAAGTAAAGAAACAGTTGGAACATCACACATGCTAGTAATTATAACTTGTTTTGTCTACCTGTACATAAAACTGATGCTTTTGTTGTTAATGACCTCATTGACAGGTGATTTATCTTAAACAGTATAATGACCGGCATTGATCATGGAAATATAATAGGTACGACGTGTTCTAGTGTTTCTTACGTCCGGTATCACACCTAGCACGTGTCTTTCAAAGTGCGCGTGCTATGAAGATAAATGTAACAAATGCTTTGAATCCCAGTTTTACGTCAGAAATTCGATAAATATGTATTTTTATGATAAAATCCAATTTATATTTAACACCATTTCTGAGATTATAAATAGATTTTTTTTTTGTATTTCAAGCATGAAACCACAGATACATGTGTACACTATAAGGGAGGAGTTTTTGTAGATCTATAAATTAGCAACTTTTACGTGTGATGGAACATTTAGTATCAACACGGACCTTGTAATAGTCCTAGGTTATCTATATAATACCATATGACGTATAGGAAATGCCATGGACGTCAATTAAGACGTGGCTATAGGATTGGTGTACCGACACAGATTCAGATTGTGTTATTCCTTGTGTAAACCACATCAGAGAGTAGACATAAACACAGACACAGTTACTGAATGTAACGAGGTTCACAAGATTTGGTATCTGTAATTTCTGTTCAGAAAAATCTGAAGTATGAAATCAGCCTGAAGGCTGTTTTGATAAAGTCGTCCACAACTAAAAACTTAACCCACGTGTATCGTTACTGGGAATGATTAAAATTATCAAGGAGTTTGCAACATTAAGCCTCGTTTTCGATTTTTGTATTCGTGAAAAACTGAATCATATCATTGAAAGGTTACGTAAATAATGCAAACAGGAAGAAATCTATATAGGGAGCCCTGGAACAACATTAGCAATACATAATGAGTCGGGTAGACCGACGTCCCCTTTCACCCCGCAATTAGTCTCGTCGTCATGTAAATGGGTTTAGGAGTGAGAAAATCACATGTTAACATTCCGCATGTGCTCATACTAATGACTTCAATAAAACAGTTACACATTACGTAGTGACACAGTAACAGTTGTACATGAATGCCTTACACAGCCCATACATCTACTGACTGGGATTAAAACAGCTACCTACACATTACGTAGTGACACAGTAACAGTTGTACATGAATGCCTTACACAGCCCTTACATCTACTGACTGGGATTAAAACAGTAACCTACACATTACGTAGTGACACAGTAACAGCTGTACATGAATGCCTTACACAGCCCTTACATCTACTGACTGGGATTAAAACAGCTACCTACACATTACGTAGTGACACAGTAACAGCTGTACATGAATACCTTACACAGCCCTTACATCTACTGACTGGGATTAATGAAATTCAGCCCTTTTTATTGCTCTTTTGTAGCAATAATATAACTTGAAGGCAAAGGAAACAACATGTGAATGACATATACATAGGCATGTCAACATCTTAGTCAATCATGGAATTATCGTCAGCAAAATGAAAGGTAATTCTAAACAAAGACTGCAATACAGTTTCATATAACTTGTACGGAGAATAAAAGTCACATTGTCTTTAAAAGAATATCACAAAGAAATTTACTTAGTTCAAAGCCGGCTTGTATTGACGTACAGATACAATGTATTGTAGCTGAACCGAATCGATCATCGGCGACCACGTAGCTCAAGTGGAAGTGCCCATCTCGAGTTTGGAGGGTTCGAACCCCGGTCTGGCCGGGTAATTATCCATCTCCTGTTAATGTGATGCTTGCGACCAACCCTTGTTTCAAGAAACCTGAGTTGTCAAAAGTAATGTCTTCGGGGACGAAGACGTAAAAGAGGAATGTACGGAAAGGAATTTGATTGGGTCGATCATCGGCGACCGGGTAGCTCAATTGGGAGAACGTCCGTCTAGAGTTCGGACGGTTCCAGGATCGAACCCCGGTCTGGCCGTGCATCTTTCCATCTCCTGTTACAGTTTATATGCATATACTAAAATAATTTTGCAGTTCAACACACTATCCTCATGCAGCAGTGCTTATTAACACAACCATCATTGATCAAATATGGACTCTTGTTGAGGTGAGTATGTGGTTACATAGACCAGAAAAGGCGATTTTAACCGAGACGACGTCAAGGTTAATATTAATGTTTCAGGTCCAAATAACTATATAAATTATTCACCGCGAAAATGAAAGTTTTTAATTGTTATATTTTATGATGCGAATACCACCTAATATAACAATAAATGCTGTTCAATATTATTTAAACGTGTTCTGTATCATCAAACTATTGTATTCAATACAGTGTCCCCGAACAATGCTGGTAAGGAAAACAACTAGTGTTTACGCTACATTAGGGCTGTAACGATACACCGCGGTGCACCGAAAACCGCGCTAAATTTCTTCGGTTCGGTTCACGGTATTTTTTTCCGTGTTTCGGTTCGGTTCGGTTTTTAGTATTACCTGACTTCCGGAATTTAACCATACATGTGTAACGTAAACATTTATTCTCCAGCGTCACCTACGATGATAATAAAGGTTTTGAAGGGTTTGACATGGTGATGTGGAAAAACTTCGGTGTAACATAATATGTTACTTTCCAATGAACGGCTTTGTGCCCTACGCAAACAGGTTAATATCGGCGGACCGAGGCGCACATGTATGTCGTCTGCAGGTGAGGCCGAATTGAACATTAACATTGATACGTTTTGAGCCGATTGCTTTCTTCAAACTATATATCGATGATTTAATCATAAACTAGACCGTAGCTAATATATATCTATACTATATGCCGACTGTGACAGTAAATATATCGAATGACGACTTGAAACCTGTAGCAAATCACATGCAATTCTTGATGAAATACCTGACCTTTTTACCTGATAATCTCCGTGTAAATGTACAGCGTCTTATGTCATAAATGAAGTTTATAATCTCTGATATCATTTGCCAATCACATTTGCTGACAAAAATAATTTTAAAATGATCTTTCTGGTGCTTAAATCCAATTAATTAAAAGTTTCAACCTTTTTTACCTTTATTAAAACCTGTACAGGTAAATACTGAAGCAATTTTAGAATTGAAAAACGTTAATGTAAACTAGAGACAACAACAAACAATTTTCATATAACTTTCATTCACATAAAACATATATTTTTCAAGTTATGCACATTTGAAAAATCAAGTAAATTAATTTATATTTCAATAATTAATTCAGCAGTGGTGCCCTTTTACATAGAAATCAATGTAGCAGCATTAGGGTTAAAAAAAAACTCCCCCTTCCTTTCGCTCGCCTGTTTGGCAGCATTTTGGATTCCTGCTAAATGTCCCCGATGTAAAATCACTCTCCTCTTGCCGCATATGTTTCGTAGATTTAAGTCAGGGAACACATCAAACATGGCGACGCATTTGAAGAGGAAGCATAACATTTCGTCATCCTGTTTCGTATCAAAATGTATCGTATCGTGGGTAGATATCGTGATACGTATCGTATCGTGGCATAGGTGTATCGTTACAGCCCTACGCTACATTTATCATCCTCAGAAAGGATAGGATAGGTAGGAACGCATTTGTTTTATTTTGGAAATATTTTTACTACGCTTATAAAGAGCAAGAGTTCTGACTTAAACAGTGCATATATCACTAAATGCCAATAAAACTTGAGGGTACGTACAAAAAGCTAGGATAAGAAGGGTTGGTGGAAACTCAAAAGATAACACAGTTTTCAACCAAGCCAATCCCGTTTAATTCCATGATCATCACTAACTTACAAACAACCAATCCATGAGTTAGGAAAGGCTACTGATAACGGTCACTACCACCAGTGTGACAGTAACGGTCACTACCACCAGTGTGACAGTAACGGTCACTACCTCCAGTGTGACAGTAACGGTCACTACCACCAGTGTGACAGTAACGGTCACTACCACCAGTGTGACAGTAACGTTCACTACCACCAGTGTGACAGTAACGGTCACTACCACCAGTGTGACAGTAACGGTCACTACCACCAGTGTGGCAGTAACGGTCACTACCACCAGTGTGACAGTAAAGGTCAATATGGCACCACAATAGCGTATTTAACATTAGTGTTTACGCCTATAGCGTCAATACAAAAGTCACTGCTTGTATTTCATACCTTTAACTATCACCTTAATTGTCGTGTATTTATGGGCGACAGTAAAATACTACACCGTACAGTTTTGATCTGTCTTTGTGCGTATAAAAACAACACTAGACAGACTAAATGTCCTTCCCATGTGAATATAATACGCCTTGCCCACAGAATGTCTCCACTTCACAAAATATAACTTTTAACCAACGGAGACGAAACCAGGTGCTGCAGAGGCCAGAACATACAAATACTAACAAGTATCCGATATCAAAAATATCAAATTCCCTGAAGTCGGTAATTATATGAAAACACATTTAAAGGAAATGTGAATAAATAAATGATCAAAAGCGTGACTGATAATAAAAAGCCAACAAATCCACGTCTTTATGTAACGATTACCGTAATGTTTATCACAACAGCCCCAGAAACAAAGTACATTTCTAACCTGTTTTCTATGTATCTCAAATATCTACCATTGACATCAGATACATGTGAGTCAGTGACCTGTAGGCTATTGACAGCGGCATATACACAGTGTGTGAATGGTATTATGACCGCAGCTGTGAAAGTCACAGATTTCACAGTCAAACAATTTCCGACCCTTTGGATTAAGTGATGCAGTGTCATCCCGAGACACCTAAAATATCAACAGGGCACCATAACACATACTATACTTCTAATAGGTACTAGCTGAAGCTGTGTATACATACCGTTCACTGTAGGCGGAGATATGGGTAATTAAGAGATGTTTACAGTAGGAGAAGTATATATTTAGGCCATGGAGTATTTTACCATACCTGAACTCATCCTCATCCTCGTTCCGTTTCCGGTAGTGTATAGCAGGCATGGTCTGTCCACTATTCGCCACACTGTCAATACTCTAGAACTCCAGCACAAACGGCTCTGACATGCAAGTTCCTGTCAGTACAAATAGGACATGTGTGGTGGGTGGGTATATCCGATATATGCTAATACATTCACGGTAGACCGACCGGCAAGTATGACATGTGTCAGTGCCTCCCCTATCTCCTATACTATTCATGTAAATATAGTTTTTAAAATGTCTCTGTTGACCGAACACGGTGTCCTGTTACAGGGGGTAGTTGGTATTATCTAGTCTTTAGTCCCGCTGTGGGTGGATACGACACAATTAGCACCTACTACGTCACGCTGACCTAATAACTTAGTCGCAATCACCTGTGTTATGTTATTGTACTTTACCTGGTAGTAATAACCTTCCGCGTTTTTTAATTGCATGTATCAAGTCATAGAGGATTGTCGTTATAAGTGTATTATATTAATCTTTTTGTTTTGTTTTATTAATTTATTGAATTCACGTCATAAACTCTTTTCAGAAATGTAACAAACACTATTGATTAATTGGTGAAAAATATTCCTTTGGTGAGTCAACTTTAAGTGTAGGCGGAAGCGTGAACTCCTCAGAATAATTATACAAAATGTACGTGATTATGTGTGTAAACAGCTTTGTGAGTAGAACGACGGAGGTACTTACAACAATAATCCGGGATCTCTCTCATTCCAGTATTTATATTGTAACGGCCTTAGTCGTTTAAATGTCGTACCGTTAAAATATGAATATCACGGGTTCCCCTTCATGTTTTTTTTTTCAATTTCAATTTCAAAAATATTTTATTGACAATCCATACATAATACAAACATATAAGTTGACATTAAAGGATTATTTTTGAATAGTTTAGTGACATATTTAAAAATGTAAAATATAAAATGAGATATATCTAGCCTGTATTGCTCACATGTTCCATTTTTTATCTGAATTAGACAAGAACGTGAAATATTTCCGATATTTTGAGACCACGGAAGTCATTTCTTACTGGCCAATTGGAATACAGGTGTAAAATTGACATAAAATTTCGCCATGGAAAATTTGGTCAAAAGCTCGTCACTCGTATAAAAAAATATATATTATAATAGAATAATTGATATTTCAGTTCCCTTTTGGGCTTCATCCTTCATTTATATAGTTTAAAAAATACTTTAGCCAAGCTCGTACGATTTATTCAAAATACGTTTAGCTGTTCTGGACTTGAAGTGTTTTAAAAGAAAATCTGACGACCGAAAATCGGACATAGGATGCGTCGCCATGCACGACACAAGTACTTATAAAAACAGAGAGAAAACGTATTTTATGGTCTTCGGCATGAGGGCGTTTTCAATCATGTTACGTAAGTGCTTGAGCTGATTACACTAGGAGGGGAACCATTAACAGCGATCACTCATCGCGAGACGATTAGAAATGTACATAACATTGAGGTATGTCGTTAGAATCAATCGGTTGTTGTGACGAGGGCGTGGTATGAATACAGATCCTGCACATGTGTACACATGTATAAATAAAACACTTGTTAGGGGGAGGGGGTCAGGCCCGAGTGTGGTACATCAATTGTTAGACCAATAGAGCGTTAGAGTGGACTCAGTACAGGCCATGTTTTATGTACATGCATCAGGGTGCGATCGAACTTAATCAAGCCAGAAAATACACAATAATGTAACTTATTTCTAACGAAACTCATAACCAGACTGGAGTTACTGTGATAATGCGCTGACGTCAATTAACATACATTTAAAGAGACTGTTTAAATATTATCCAATACAATCACCGTATGTACCACGTTACGACCACTTTACGACAATGTTTAAACTACATCGCAATGAAGCGTTAAATTGAGTTTAAAAGAGACTACAGCTACCAGGGGCGTTGAATTTATGTGTGGCAGACTACAAGCCAAGGTAAATGTGAATAATGTTTTGAAAAATGTCTAGCTATTTTAACAACTTTTTCAGTTAATTGTTTCATATGCTTTACAAATACCACGTGCATGTCAAACATCATCAGTGATCATAGGTCAAATATTAATAACACACTCGTCACAACAATAAACTGGCTATATAATCTGATAATGGCTTGATGTAATCTATGATATATGTTTAGCGAAATTCTGGATAATTTGAACTGGATACATGTAATGACGAAATCATAGGAAACATTACTTGGCTCGAGAAACAGAAAGATTTCACATACCCGTCCTTGATCTAGTCCTAGTGCAAACCATCCGGACCTAACTCCAGTAAGTTTACATACACTCGAACGCACTGGGTTGGTAAACGTTATGTCAAACCGACCACAGGTCACAGCACCTATTAGGGGTAGGTAAATATCTCAAAATGACCACGGCTCACACCACACTGCTACCTGAAGACAGGTGTGCGAGAAGCACGTGCCTGATGACAATAACAGTCTGTGTCTCGAACCAATAAGGCGACACCTCGGTAACAGACTTACACGTAAACAGGTATCGGGTGACCAGGAAATTGCACGAGGAAGTAGGAATCCCAATATTTAGACACAGTACGAACTGTTATATGTGCCTAGCTCAGTTATAGACGGTAACTTATAGTTCGACACAATACGAACGGTAACTTTGCCTAACTCGGTTATAGAGAGGAAACTTAAAAGTTGGATAGCGTGCGAACATTTACCAGTGCGGTATGAAATTCCATGCATAGATAATTGAAGTTATTAGTTTTGACAATCAACCAGTGATCATGTTGATTAACAGACGTTTACTAACAACACACTCTTTGGATATTAAACAATTTCTGCTTTCTTTATCTTTCCATTATACAAATGTCATATTAATGTATAATTTAGGCACCGTAGGCTGTAAGGGATTTATTTACACAAAACACCGAAGTGAACAAACGACAACCTGTAGAAGAGTTCGCATTGCCCAATAAACCATTCTGATCACTTTTATACCTATTAACCAATTATGCAAGAATAAATTGAACCCTTACAACAATTTTCTCCGCCCGAGAAGTTGTTTTGAAAAGTCTATAATCTACAAACTGGGTCATGTTGAGACCAATCTAGCTCATCGTACATTCACTGAAAATCTGCCATCACGCGTGAAATGTCGTTTTCAAATGGAAGCAATTTATTCAATGGGCAAATCTGAGTAAGCTTCCATAGTGTACACAAATATTTACATGGTGTTATCTGAACCTAAAAGTGGAGTAACACATCAAAAGTATTGATCTAAAAAACGCATTAGTAAAATCAATGCAGGGTCAGTTTCCTCAATGTTCCCTGCACGAGGAACATCACAGCTTTGTTCGTGTCGACTTTAACCAATATCTGTGAATGACTGAAAAAATCGCTTTAAACCATTACCGGAAAACTTGTCAGCTGTTTGCGTATTAAAGCTTTATATCATCACCATCAACGCTGATGTCGCTGTAACTTGTTTCATAAGCCTGAAACACCTTGTGGTATCAGGAAATAAATAACTCGCCATATTGTCATACAATATGAAGAGGGTTACAATAAATGGCTACAATTCGGTAATGAATCGCAATAGTTATATGTACGTACACGTCTGTCATAGCACAGAACCACCGAAGAGATTTCCAAACATGTTCCTGTATTGAGATAAACTGGAAGTCGATTGTTGCCCCCCCCCCCTCCTGCTCCTGTATTGAAATAAACTGGAAGTCGATTGTTGCC